TTGCACAATGCGCTGGATTCCAGCAGCTCCTCGGCCTGATCCAGCATTCGATACACGTCGATTCTGGAGACTGCACGGCCCGCCGTCGATTGAGCCGCGGCGCGGCGGCTCGATACGAAGGCAATATCGTCACCGCGTGCGCGGCGTCGATGGACGAGTTGATCCTGCCGTAGTATCCGATCCCCTCCGCAGCCTGAGAATGACGCAGTTCACCTCCTCACCCGCCGGCAGTGCGCAACAGAGTCAGCTTCAGAGAGCGGGGCAGCTGCACGGCTGGCAGAGCAGGTCTGTGGACAGCCGTCCGGCGTCATCGGACGCCGTCAGTGCCGACACCCCACGTCACCGGGCACCGTCGGTGCCGACGTCACCGAATCGCCATCGACACCCACGCGCGGCACCAGCCAACAGCTATACCCCGGACGTCCAGGGCCGCGTCAGCAGCTGGCGGGGGGAGCAGGCCCCTGCCGGCGAGCTCTTCGAAGGATCGTGGCAAGGCGCCTCGGTGCGTCACTTTCCGGACCGGCACGTCCTGAAGCTCGGAGAGATACCGGCTTGCCGGCCATGACATTGCCGCTTCGTACAGCCGCAGGGGACGCATCAGCATCAACAACCTCTGAGATGCTCCGCTTCCATCGCTCACCGTTCAGCTGGTGCCGGCCGCGTGGGAACGGCTCACAGCATCCCCGCTGGACCGCCCCCCCCCCCCCCTCCAACCCCGCACGTGACGGAACGAGGGGACACACCTCTGCAGGGTGGCCCAGCCCCGACACCCGCCTCCCGTACCGCGCAGGAGACAGGCCGTGTGCCGGCCACGCCCCGGGCCGGCTGCAGCGGCAGCAAAACCTGACCTGTCCCACCCGGTGGCGGCGGCGCGGCGGGCCGGGTCAGGAGGGGCGGCGTCGGGGGGGAGGGGGCTGGCGCCGCGCCACCGGTCTGCGCCGCTCCGCCCCGCACGGGCCGCCGCCGCTGTTCCGACTGCAGTCTCCGGGGGGGGGGGAGGGGGGGGGGGGCTGGCCGGACAGTCTGCCCCGCCGGCCAGGCCCCGGGACACCGCTGGAGACTGCGGAATGGCGGGGAGGCTCCAGCCTTCGCCGCTTACGGTGGCGCTGGTGTCACCCCTCGTAAGGATTCAGGGCGAGAGTTTGGGGCATCAGCGAGAGGACGGACGTCCTTTTTTAACCTGTCTCTTGACTTTTCCCTTTTATCTTTTGTATTTTCTCATGTCTTTTAACGTGTCTTTTATTTTCTAGTTACTCAGACATTTTCTAGTATTTTCTCATTAATTTTCTCCAAACACCATCTGTCCCATATGTCCAATCAGTCCCATCACACTTGCCTGTTCTATTCTTGGTCTGATCTTTCTGAGTTCAATATTTAACCTTTTCCCGGAGTTAAAGGCTTCTCTTTACTCAGGTAATTAGTCTGTCTCGCATCTTTCCCTTTTTAGCTCCGTGCACCACAGCAAAAGGCAACCACTCCATTCAAAACGCCATGTGACTTTCGACACCGTCTCTTTGCAAAAACGTTCACCAGACGCAGCGGCGTTTGAAGCGGGCGAAAGTGTCCTCTCAACACACCGCCGGGATTTCACCAGACCCAACACCGGATATCACCAGACCCATCACCAAGATATCACCAAACCCACCACCGGATCCACCAGACTGATTGCGGGATTCCACTAGGCCCATTCGCCGGATCCCCACCAGACCCATCACCGGATCCCACCAGACCCACCACCGGATCCCACCAGACCCGCCGGATCCAACATACCCATCGCTGGATCCCTCCAGACTCATCGCCGGATCCCACCACACCCATCACCGGATTCCACCAGGCCTATCAACCGGATCCCACCAGACCCGCCGGATTCCAGCAGGCTCAACCGCTGGATCCCAACGAGGACCCGCCCCGAGTTCCACCAGACCCGTCACCGGATTCCACCAGACCCATCACCGGATCCCGCCAGACTGACCCCCAACGCCCCCTGCTCGGCGCGACGGCGGCTGGCGACCTTCACAGCGCACTGCCGGGTCGCGGCCAGCCGGCTGGCGGTGGCCCTGGCCGCGCCGCAGAGCTCGGTCCGGGCCGCTCCGCCAGACGGCATGTCCGCGCGCAGGCCGCTCACCTGCGGCGGCCGTCGGCGGCGCGCCGCTCCGACACCGCGCCCTCTACCGGCGAGCGGGCGGCCAACTGCGTAGGTCGGCCAGGGTGGTGGCCCGCGCGCCGCGCGGACACGCATGCCATGGCGCCCGGCGGCGCGCCGCCGGGACCCGGCGCGGAGCCGCGTAGGAGGCGGTCGGCCGGTGGTGCCTTGGAGGTCCGGCTCCGTGATCTGCCCCATTACGTTTCCGCCGACGCCGAACGAAACTGGTCACAATTTGCGCGGGGCCACACCAGCGGCACACCGTCTGCCCGCGCCGCCGGCCGTGCCACTGACGTCACCATTCCTGCTCCAGATGGGTAGCAGTTTGTCGCCGTCGCTCGCAATCCAGACGGCGTGTCTGAGCCGTCTGAGAGCCGGTGGGAGGGGGCGGGGGGGGGGCGAGGAAGCTAAGCACCCCAGCCGCCAGCACAGCTCGGTCAGCCTCTGGCGTGTCGGTGTTGGGACAGCCGCGGTGCTGGTCGGGGTGCACGTTCGCACTAGCAATGAGACCGGTGCCGGGGCCGCGTCCAGTCCCTTTCCGCTACTGCAGCCGCAGGCTGGCTCGGTTGCCACCCATCAATCCGGCTACCACAGTGCCTACAGAATCACGGGCTGTCCAGACACTAGTGACGGGCATAATTGCTTCCATATGCAGTCCGGTAACGCACGTGAACGAAGACGTGGAACTTTCTTTCAGATTTGATGAAGGCACTGATTATTCTCTCATGGGTGGAGGGCAAATGAAATTAACGAAATGTAACAGGATCAATCAACCGGAATAATCGAGGGAAACTGAGATATAGGAGGCATTCCTTCTTACGCAATGCTCAACACAAAACATGGTCATAACTACGTCTAAGAAGGAACTTTTGGCACTATTTCTCTTATACCGCACGGGCTGCGGGCGATTGGTCTCGTGCGGTAGCCGGCTGTTTCACCCAACCCTTGGAACATTAGAATCCGACTGACTTCATGCATCTGACGAGTCGTTGCAAACAGCGTTTCGTGCTCTGCTTTACGGGTATCTTATTTAAAAAGATAAAACTTGTGGAGCGCCGGCGGCAGTATACAAAAAATGGGGCAATGTACCGAAAACGCCAGTGTCGAATGTTGTAACCACGAGTCCCATACATACATCGTGCTGCAAGGAACTCAAAGTGGGTCACTGCTAACTCGAGATATTTTATCAGCACGTTTTGGTAAATGACAACAAAATGACGAGTCCACATCATCCTAAAAAGTTGAAAATTCAAAAAAAATGATCTGGAGCAAAAGGGGTAGGTGAAGATCAAATTTATGGAGGGAGGCGGACTGTATTCGTAAATCCACTAATGTCATACGACAAAACTAAGACAGGGTGCCGCCTCCTCCTTGGATCTACCTCCGCACTCCTCATAGCTTCAAAGACGTCCCCAAACATTACCACGAACACTCACTTCGAGCGTGTCAAGCCTTTTGCGCCGACATGTCCGTTAATTTCAGGTTGAGTATCCTTGCATGTCATGTCTTCATATCATCGTTCGAGCTTCATACTAATCATTCCACTAGAATCCTTAAAGACACTGGTATGTGTTCAAAAAAATGGTCCGGGAAAGCCGCGGAGTTTCATGACTTTATCTGGAATGCTTAAGAAACTGCACTAAGAAAATCTTGTTCTCCCTTCACAGGAATAGGAGTTAAAGTTCCGAAGCACGCTCGAACGCCTTTTGTCCTCTAAATATTGAGAAAGCATACAAGCCCGCGTGACAACAACCTTCCCTGAGAAATTATCAAGAGATGGATCAGGGAGTGCCTCTGATAAGCAACGGAAGCCGAACGCATCGCAAACCAGCTGTCCTGACGTGTGAACAAGACACACCCAATGCCAGCGGATAGTCCACCAGTCTGCAGCCAACATGGGCATGACGCACGGTCGTGAAATTAGACATCCGACCGGTCCAAAATAGTGAGCTTCGGACCCAAAGCCCGGCAGTTCCGAGACCTGTTCCGGCGGTAATAGCACCCGATGCCCTGCGAAGTAAATGGAGTTGCCGCGATGACGACCACTCTGAGGGGCAGTCATTTCTCATGATGAGGGGGCGGGGTGGCCGGGAGCGACTATGACCTCGGGTAAGGCTCGGAGCCTAGGGTAGCATTCCTGGAGCTGAGCGAATGAGGTGGTGGCGAGAACAGGCTGGCGGTAGCGGATTTTCGAGGTAGTTCAGCACACCAGACCGCACACGATCCCTGGGTGGAGCACGCGAGCAGCTTGCCTCGGTCAGGTCCCAGCCACGCGTCAACACCAGATAACGGCTCCGGCGAATCCCCAGAGGCCCCAGACGATGCATGCATTAGAAAAAAGCCTTGGTTTAGTCTAGCCACGTCTATCTGGCCAGAATGGCTTCCGCCGTAGGTCCCCACCACGGGAACTCGCGTGACACCGCGCGAGGTTCTGATATTTCGCTCTGCGCTTCGTGAATCGACGCAAGACCCCGGATATACGCCCTCAGCCCCAGTCCAACGGAATCTCTGCGCAAATGGCGAGGTTTCTCCAGCAGACACACTTTCTACAGGATTACAGCTCAATATGAGTGACGCTTTGTTTACTTTAAATAGCTTTTCCTCCCCTCCCAATGCAACCTTGGTCTATGTCCCGGTCCCTACTCGAAAGCCTATAAAGAAACTCTGCTTTTGCAGCTGAGGCTGTATTCAGCGCAACTCATCACGACATGAACCACAAAAGCCAAAGTTGCCAGGATATCTAAAAGGGCCGGACTGGCGCCAAGTCAACTCGGCTCATCACGCCCCCATCGGACCGACAGTCACGTTTCCCCAGACCTGGACCGACTGTCACTTGTCACTAGACGAGCCGACTCACCTGGGGATTATGGAAAAACTCGTACTTGGCGAAGTCTTTCTTGAAGTAGAATGACGAGCTGCTGTGCGCCATCCTCATCGAGCGATAGGTGTTCAGCACGTCCTCGTGGTCCTCAACCGTCCTCTCTGGAACCATGGCACGGTACGGTCAGTGGCCGACCTCGGACATCTGGTCCGCAGCTACGTAAGCATTTCGACAGCAGGTGTGCTCGGCGCAACAGATAACCAGGTATTTGTCACGTTTCTTAACAAAGACACCTGACCCATCGCACCCAAAACTAGGAAATGTTCCGCTTATTTATCATTTGAAGATCATTTCGTGCACAGCCTGACGCCGGCCATCACAGCATTCGTTGCGCTTTCGACCGCAACTGGCGCCGGTTCAACTGCCCGTGGCTGAGCTACAAACACCAGCAGCCTCTGCTGCTGGGCGGTACTAGCAGCTGAGCTTGATGCAACGGCCTGTCCCGGAATGGTATGCGATTAAACCGCCCGGAATTAGTGTCATCTGTACTTTTTCAGCCGCACTAAGTGACCGCAGTGAAAATGACCAGGAACAGGACCAGCGAATGACGTCATAGCGTCAGCATGCATGACTTCGACGCATCGACACATCGAAGCGTCGATCCGAGACAGCAGCACGCCAGCTGTATGGACAGCAGGTGGTGTGATACCATCGGTTGTGTAGAGGCGCATGCGGTCCAATCTGGAGCTACTTCTGAGCCCACCGATCTCATGGCTCCGAGCAGTCGGAGCGAGTAGCCATCAGCATGCAGCCCCGAATAGGACTTCTCACGCACCTGCTCACGGTTGGCGAGAATGCACACTTCAACCGGCATGCACCGGTGTTGTGCCCACGCCACGCGTCTGACATTAAATACGCTCAACGCCCCACATTCTGAAGTCGACTTAACAAGGCGTAGCCCGTTGCGGGGGCCGGAGCTAAGACACCCAAGAACATCAGTGATGACCTTTCTTAACGCGAAAATTCTGGTAACGGGAATGCGTAATCCGGAGATGACCTTTCGCGCCACAGCGCCGGTCCGGCCGCCAGAGTCGCCCGCACGCAAGGCGCCTGTCATGTCGCCGCTTGCCACGCGGTAGAGCGCGGCGCGCGCGCCGGTTCGTGGAACGGCGCCGGGCGGGACGCACATCTGCGCAGTTCCCCACCCGCTCGCCGGCCTCGGCGCCGCTGGGGCGCGCCGCCCGCTGGCGCAGGCCCGACGCCGGCGACGCTCCCACACCCGAGCCCCGGCAGCGACGGCACCGCTCCGCCGGACGGGAGAGGCACCGACCCGGCACTGATGGCCCGTGTGACCCGGGGAGGGGGAGAGGGTACCGACACGGCGCCGACGGCCCGTATGACCCGGGGAGGAGGCGGTGGGTGGGGGGGGGGGGGGGCGGCACCGACACGGTGCCGACGGTCGACGGCTAGTCATCTGCTCGTGCCGCTGTGGTGAAAGTTAGCACCTTCAGGGCGGCCCCGTGGGGCCAGTTACGCCTGACCGACAGAGTCGGCCAGCGATGTGGCAGGGTTTACGCGGTGCGGTGTCGAGCGGCGTGGCACCAACCCGGGGGGGGGGGGGGGGGGAGAGGGCGGAGTTCGCCGGTCCCCGTTGCGTCACACTTGCGTTTGTCAGAAGGACAGAAATAGACGGCAACGCTCCTGGATACTGCGGCGCAGGGCTCACAACTCAAGGTCGGAAGAAAAAGATGGCGCTTTCAGTGATTCTATATGAGGTTCACAAACGAAGGTTTTCTGGGAGAATCTCATCGTGAGCCCCTGGACAAAATGGGGTTTACTCGCTGGGGAAGGGGTGGGGGGGGGGGGGCTCGTGGGTAGTGTCGTGTTCAAGGGGGAGGGATACCCACGGCATGTGCTGCTTTATCCAACTGCATCATATCCAGGTAAATAAATGCCGGCAACTAAAAGAAAAAACAGAATGGAGTCTTCTTTTTATCCAGCGAAGGGTTTCGGTAGCCGAAAACAGGACTTCCTGATGCAAAAGGGGCCTCCTAATCCAGAGCAGCAGGCTTCCGTTTCACGACGGGGCCTCCAAATCTAGCCTCGGGACCTGATTATAGCAAAACAGGGCATGCTGGTTCGGAACCGTGGCCATCTGATGAATGAAAGGGACTTCCAGCTCCAAAAGGGCGCCTCCTGAATACAGAGGATGCTTCCCAACCCAGAACAGGCCTCCTAGTTTATAACGGGGCCTCCCGAGCCAGCAGCGGGGTCTTATTGACACAAGATTGGGGATTCAAATCTAAAGCATGGGCCACTTTATTTATAAAAGTAGCCTCATATTCCAGAAAACGGTCTTCCTTAAGATTGAAAGGGTCTTCTGAGACCGATTTATGCGGAAGGAGTCCACCTAACTGAGCATAACTCCAGCTAAGTTATGTGGCCTCCCTGATCTGGATTTTCGTAAAATAAGAGTGGTTGAAATTTCTTTAAGCTGAGAAAAGGGACAACCTAAAATTATTTAAGGGTGGGGGGGGGGCACGACCATACTCTTGCTCGCCCATCCACATCCCCCTGCGGTCTCACCCAGAATGGGAAAAACGAAACCGCAGGCGATATAACTAAACAATAGGACATTTACCCCCATTAGTTCTGCTTCCTTTCCCGTTCGCGATATCACTTATTTGCACCACTCACTCGCTTGTGGTCGATGCGTTACACCGACTGACTTGCCTCTCACCTCTCTCACCCGAGTACATCCCAGTGGCGCTGATGCAAAATGCATTGAAAAACATAGTTTGGAAAAGGGTGGGGTCGTCGTCTAACTTCCGTAGCATAACCACACTGTTCCAAGCCTTATCCAAGTTCTTGGCTGACCTACACCTTTGATGCATGCGGCTGCACACGCGCTAGCGGGAGGAAGTCCCAAAACATCTTTCTTAGTTGTAGCTTTGACAATGCTATTAGCCATTAGAGAAGTAACGTAAATAATAGATCGGCAGTGAAAAAGTAAGGTAACTTAAGATGCCTTAACTGGGTCTGCGATAGTGTAAAACAGCATTTTTGATGCATGGCGCACGGGTTAGTAATGTGAGAAGGGACAAAGTGACAGTTCGCAGCATACATAAATGTTTTTGAACACTGTTATATCGCAAACTAAAGAACGATTCCGTGCCAAATGAAGTGGACAATATCTCTCTCAACAGCTCGAGGGGAGGACCGCGCCAAACTGCCCGAGGTCACCCCAAATTGAAAATGGATCAAGATACACAACGGAAGTGTTACTGCGTGCGTGCCAGAGTTGGCCACAGCCGGTTGGAACAGTTTCTGCCAGCCAGTTTTTACCGGTGAAAACCGGTCGGCAGTAACTAATGGTGGCAAAAACTGGCGGAAACTGGCAGACTCAAGCACTGAGGAGCATGCTGTGAGCAATTGGCGCAGAAGAGAATAGGAGAATAACAAAATAAATTGCACGTTTAGCATACATTGAATGGTAAAGACAAGGGCTGGCTGACACAAATTTCAAGATCTCAAAATTGCAAGGTATCTGAACCTATCAGACAATAAGAATAATGCTCGTCCATCCCTATAAAAAATCCTCGTCGTATGATCTTGTACGTACGGGTGAAACCGCAAACCCTGGGCACTTAACAGCAACTTCTACCCAAATCAGGCAAAATATGCCGGCAGAAATTAACGACAATCAAGCCAGTAGGGCTTGCAGTCGACCCCCGCCCCCTCCCCCGGCAACGTCCCAGCGCGGCCCCATTGTATGACGTCATCACACGGACGGTGTGGCCAGTCGGCTATTGATAACGGCCACCCGCACGTGAGGCGGCCGGCAGCCGCGGCATTTCCGGGGGTCAGCCCGCCCCTGCGAAAGGTCACGTGACCGGAAAGTCGCGGCGCTGCGCCAGGAGGCGTCCGAGGCCGCGCCCAGCTGGCGCGGCTCGCTGCGTCGCGAGCCCGCAACGGGCCCGGGGGGGGGGGGGGGGGGGCGGACATTCATGCCAGGCGGACTGGACTCTTACTTGCCCCGCCTTGCGGGTCGTGCCAACTCAGCTGCTGGCATTCGAGGAGAGAAGGACGAGATCCAAGGATGCAGCATAAAACATCGCTACGAATGCGTCTAGTGATGCTCGGGAGCTGTCGAACAGCCTGGTGAACATGCTGAGCTGAGCTACAAAACGGCGCGACGTTGATAGATATGATATTTGACGAGCTCAGTGATCTCAGCATCCAGCGCACGCGCCGGCTCAGCGGATGGTCGTGCTTCAGTTCCTCCACGCATTCGGAGTGAGACGGACTCTGCTGTGCCAGCGCTTCACCAGCCGGGCGGACAGACACTACCGATGGCCGGGCTGTGCCAGCGCTCCATCAGGGAGACAGACAAATACTACCGATGGCCGGGCTCTGCCAGCGACCCATCGGGGATACAGACAGACACTACCGACGGCTGGGCTCCGCTAGCGCTCTATCGGGGAGACAGACAGACACTACCGATGGCCGGGCCGTGCCAGCGCCCCATCTGGTAGACAGACACCTACCGACGGCTGGGCTCCGCTAGCGCTCCATCGGGGATACAGACAGACACTACCGATGGCCGGGCTCCGCCAGCGCTCCATCGGGGATACAGACAGACACTACCGATGGCCGGGCTCCGCCAGCGCTCCATCAGAAACACCTACCGATGGCCGGGCTCTGCCAGCGCTCCACCAGCGACCAGTTGACGTTCTTGGCCACGTGGTTCTTGAGCGTGAGCAGCTCGCACAGGTCGCACGTGCGCAGGCCCTCGGCGACGGTGAGCATTTTGCACGTGCCGTCCTCATTGTAGACGACCAGGTCCGTCTGGAAGATGGGGCAGTCGCGGCGTCAGACTGAGAACGTGACGGGCACGGTGACGATGTGGCGGAAACGTCGAGGGTGTGACGGGCAAGATGGCGGTGTCACGGGTGTGGGATGATGTGGTGGACACGGTGACAGTGCCACGGACATGTTGACGGTGTGACGGGGACGGTGACGGTGTGACAGGCACGCAGTGGTGTGACGGACACGGTGGCGACGTGACGAACACGGTGACGGTGTGATGGACACGGTGACGGTGTGACGGATACGGTGACGGTGTGGCGGGTACGTTGGCGGTGTGACGGCCACGGCCCGTCCGGACGTGCGGCGACACGGCACGCGACGAGCGGCGACCCGACGGCTGCACGCCCCTCCCCTCCCCCTGCACGCCGACGGCATTCTAAGTCTGATCCACCGCATTCCAGCGGCGGATTTTCCGTGATGCTTTCCGGTATGGCTCGGCGCGTCACTGGCAGCGGCGTGCGAGGCATTCCCGGACCGGTGCCGGCCGAGAGGGTACCGTAGTCGACTTCGCCACCGCACCGGCATCAGCACCCGCGCCACAAGCACACTGCTACCGCACACACTTCGGTTCACCGCGCGCAGTAGACTGACGTGGCGAGCCAGCGGGGCATTCACGCGTGGTTGGTGAGAACGTACCAGGCGTTATGTTGTCTAGAAAGCGCTCGCGGAGTGGTGACGTACACTGCATGGACAGCGAACTACACCAACAACTAGCAATCATCTTGCGTGCCATTTCGGGAAAGAACTGGAACACCAGACAGCGCTGGAAACGGGGCACGACAACCAGTCTGCGCATGGGAACGAAAGTGTTACCGACGGTGCTCCTGGCGCAGACCGAAGAAGAAGTAAAAAACAGCGTTTGTCCTGCCCGGCCTTGGCCGTGTGTACCAAAACGAGGCCACTTTTTATGGACATTCGCTCGTCCAGCGTACTAGACAGCAGGAAAAAAACGTCTGTTTGCATAAAGTCACACTCGTATGGTCGATGATCGTACGCAGACGTGAGCGCACCAACAAGGCCTTTCGTGATCAGTTTTTGTCCAATCAGTGAAGTATTTCAAGTACGAGGTATTCGATAAAATGTTTCGGAGAATATCTCATAAACTAGGAAGCTGCCAAAAATGTCGTTATTTGCAACACTGCTCCCCATGTGACCGCAAAAACAGTACCTGTGCCTGACGATCGCCACAAAAACCATCGCCGTTCTCTCATGTTCGAAGCGGACAGGTTTGGTGCAGAATTACGTCACCAGAAGAAGAGTCGGCAAAGGCCAATTATGGGAGTCCAACCGGCCTGAATCACAGGTGACATCTCCGGTCCGATAACTAAGCTGTCGCGACTCGGCAGCAGCAAAACACAGTCAACAAGCCACTGGCGCATAAGTGCAGCTCGCAAAAAAACGCATGAGACGTTCGACGGCCATGTGTTAAGCGTCCTTGTCGTTCGATGTTTATTCGTGACGCGGGTTCTTCGAAGTCTCGGCCAGGGATGCGTGAGTTCCCACTCGGCTGCCCACACAATGTTCTAACACAAACTGACGCCAGCTTGTTCGACGTAGTTGGACGCAGGCCAGGGACCATGAATCGCAATATGCGAGGACTTTTGGGTTCGTACCTCGCCTCTACCCTACGCGAGGGCCACACCTCGAGAAGGGAAGCTCAAACCTAGAGTTAAAAACGCCGCATCTTCGTTTCGACGACATCTGAGCATAACCGAAGGTTCAGACCGTCATCCATCAGACACCGCCACTGTGCCTCCGATCACCGCACTTACGACCATCGGACAGAAGCTGCCCTGCGCATCAGCCCCCGTGACCTTGAGCTGGCCGCAGCCGGCGCGCGTGCGTCCGCGGTCGAGCAGTCCGCCGCTGCAGGCAGCCGGCTGCAGCCCTGGCCGATCGACCGCGCCTAGGTCACCGGCGCGACGGGTCGATGCCGTGTGGCTCGGCGCTGCCCGGTCAAGGCCACGATCTGCGCGTAGTGGTGTTTGCGCCGCCGTCCGCAGCGAGGCGCTGCGATCGCCCTCGTGGGAAGTCCACGGAAGTGCGCGAAAGTTTGCCGCCTGCGGCGTATTCAAGCGTCATCGCCGTTTCTGAGTTTCGGAGCGGAGTTTGGCGGCGTGAAGTTGATATTCCTGCTGACGTCACAGCACGGAAGTCGATTCGACGGACTGAATTTTAAGCAGACCTTGTGTCCCACAGAGTGCGTCACCATATGGACATTTGACTTTATGACTCAAACTCGCGTCAGCCTGACATTCATTTCTTCTTCTTCCTTCTATGCCAGCTTACATGTGGTTTGCGCATTACTTTCCTCACCCTTGAGTGTGCATCGGTTGTCAAAGTAACCCATCTTGCATATATATGCCAGCGGATCGAGTGCTTGCCTACCTTTGACCCTCCAAGTGCTCGATCCAAAATAAATTTACACTGAAGAAAAGAACAGCGCAGTCACGTTCGCATTCTAACACGGAGCTTAACATGCACGAGTTCCTTATGCTGCAGTACACAGAGTAGGACTGTTTGGGCTTCGTTCGAGCTGAGACTGACACGTCGCACAGCCCTGAAATAAACGTCTGCATCTTTCAGGCCGCAGAAGCATCACAACATCGTGCACGCCCCACCACCGGGCTGGTCTGTAATGGGACCAGGTAAGCGCATCACAACAGCGAAAGGGTCTGTGTCCACTTCGAAGAGGGCGAGTGCCAGCTCAGAATTCATGCCGGCAAGCCGGACCCGATCGGCATCAGTCAACCGAATAAGGCTGTGACTGAGAGCCTATTGCGTGCTGACAATCCATATAAAGTCCGCCACAGACGCGTGACGTGCAAACTGGTCCATTTTTGTTCGTTAGCAAAACGCATTGGGCCGGCCAAAAATCCTCTCAGATCACTCATAAGTGGCTTCGCATCCACGTCATTCCAATGGAAGCCGTTTAGATTTCGCCATCAACGGAAAGGACAGAGGCTTGATTGCGAGACCGATGTTATATGGTGCCACACATTATATGATAACTGCGACAAATTATACGAGAGGAGCAGCCTGTCCCTTTGGAAGACAGACCACGCCCGAATGGGGAGTGTAAACTCCCCCCCCCCAAAAAAAACTGCACAGAACGCAACACAAATAATATGTCGTTACTGAACAAACAATGATTCTTACGAACCTCCGCTCATGGCTATATTTCATCTTTCAATTACATAACAACCTAACTAACGAGCACAATATTTTCCTGACTAATTTCAATTAAGTTCAAACGCAAAAGGCTGCATGTTTTCCCATCGGTCGCGTGCCGTGACCGGCCAGCGTGCAGAGGTCACAGCCGGCCCCGAGGGCCGTGACCCGACAGAGTCGCGCCCACGTCGGACACCGGCGCGGCCGTCTGTCGACGCCGAGCCCGGTGTCCGGGACCGACACCGCAGCCGCCGCCGCCACCAGACGGCCGCTGATACCGAGATACCAGCCGGCGGCGCAATTTTTAACCCAATTTGCGATACCACCGACCTTAGAAACAGATGGGCACGAAAACGTACTGAACAAATAGATCTACAGCCACTATTCACGCATGTCCGGCACCCGTCCGCTCTCTCAGCGGGCTCGGGCGGCTGAGTCATGCCCGCTGAGCTGGCCCTGAAGCGCCAGCAACGATGGCATCTCGCACCTCTGCCAGCTGCCACCTGCGCACGTCTCTGCTGGCAGTGACAGATCGCCTTCCAGTCATCCCAGCTCGCCAGTCACGTGAGAGGGCCACATCCGAAACTGGCTCCCCGAGCGATGAAGTCAGCCTACGCATGTCACGCGACGCCCTCGCACATAACCGGGAAGGGAGGGGGGGACGCGCCCTGTTTAATTTGGGACCGGTGTAGTTATGTTAGTCGGGTAACGTCGTCTGGCAACGGAACACAGGGGAGCAGGAATGCGCATTGAAACAGAGGAGAGTGGGACGCCGCATGGCGCAATGCCTCAGAGACGGCCCCGCGTGCAGTGTGGCGCACGTGCGTCCCTGTCAACCAAGGACAAGAATGCGTCCAACAACAACAAAACAGGAGCTTTGATCTGTCGGCAGCCCAGGCCTGTGTCATCGGCAGTCTAGGCCGGTGCCATCGGCAGCCTCGGCCCGTGTCATCGGCAGTAAAGGTCGGTGTCATCCATCGGCAGCCTAGGACCGTGTCACCGGCAGTCTAGGCCGGTGCCATCGGCAGCCTCTGCCCGTGTCATGGGCGGTAAACGTCGGTGTCATCCATCGGCAGCTTCTGCCCGTGTCATCGGCAGCCTAGGCCGGTGCCATCGGCAGCCTCGGCCCGTGTCATCGCCAGTAAAGGCCGGTGTCATCCATCGGCAGCCTAGGGCCGTGTCACCGGCAGTCCAGGCCGGGGCCATCGGCAGCCTCGGCCCGTGTCATCGCTACAACTGGAGGCTCCAACACTCAGCGGGCTGCGAACGAGAGCGCAACGAGACCTAAAACGTCCAGAAATCCACCCCAGGCCCACACCGTTGTGACCGTGCGCAGACGAGTCAGAACCTCACCCCGCGTGGCTCGGTGGACCGGGCTCCAACTCGTCGGATCGACCCCAGCGCCATGCGTTCACATTTCAGCGCCTCACGTGCTGACCGGGCCGGGCGCGCGCGGCAGCGCGGCGTGCACAGGGTCCGCGGCGAGTTCAGGGAGAGCGCTCCCTATGGCCCCGCGGGCTGCGTGGCTGACGCCGCGGCCATGCGGCTCACCCTGCGGCAGGCGCCACCCCCTCCCACCCGCCCCCGAGAGGGGGGCGCGGGCGATAGCGCGATGACGCAACGTTTACTTCCCGTGGCTTTACGACAGGATAACTGCCCATTATACCCATGGCCCCCCGCTACTAAAGCCCCCTCCTCACCCGGCCGTCCATGACCAGCCAGGAAGCCACAGCGGCGCAGCTGCGGCCGCCTGGGGGCGCCGGGTCCGCCCTCTCTGACCCTCCCGGCGGGTCAATACACTAGACCGC